CATTTGGAGGCCTCATTTATCTTGCGTGCCATGTCACAGAGCACAGGAGCATTTAAAGCGAAGGCTGCAGATTGAAGGCCACAATAAAAAGCTCACATTTACACATCTTAAAGGAAAAATTGTGCTGCAGAGAAGAGAAACAAGTTTCCTAACTCCTTGAGAGTGTCCCCACTTTTCACTCGTGCCAGAATATTTACACTGTTGTACACCACACGCAGATCAACTTCAGGGCTCCAAAACCCTGCATTAAAAATGGTCCAAAGCATTCATTACTCAGCATTTATTAGGCTCCAGAAACACTTGTTTCAAAGCCCACAGCTCTTCACTGTAGCTTCAATGCAGGTTTTCCATTAGAGTGCACATTGAGACGACTTCCAGCATCACTACAACATCATTACGGTTGTGTGTGTGTGTTTTTTGGGCGTAGGAACGTTCGCTCCAAATCAAAGAGAGACGTTATATAACTGTTTTGACAGGCGATGCGGCGCTCGTGTCGATGAGAAGACAGAATGTGTAAAAACTGGCGCAGGTCTCCACTGAATTTGTGTTCAGCCCGCACCAGTGACAAGTTTAAAAAGATGTTAAGACGGGTGTAATAATGATCTCTCTTACAAGAGAGCTAACATCTGATCTAGACGTAGGCAGCTGCTCCCAGCTGGGTTTCTTTATTCACGCTGAGAGCTTGGGTCTAGGCCGCGCTGCTGGTTACAACCCCGTGGGCCAAGATAAGTATATCCCTTACCTGACTTTACACAGTTCACACACTCAATTTCCCCGCACTAAAACATTTAAGCAGACTTCTCCCAACACTACAGCATTCTCAGACCCTATGGATTCCTTTAGGCTCAGCGCTCCTTACTCGGCATTCCTCCCAACAGCTGAACGATTCCCACTCGAACCTTATCACATCGGGCTATTTTTGCTTCAGCTCCTCGAATGTGCTGCTCTGGAGCGCTCCTCTGTGCTGTTAATTTGCTGCATGCCTGTGGCCAAAAGACATGCATGTGACTCCAAGCAGTAACAAAGTGACACTTTTTTTTGGTTTTTAGCTATTTTAACAAATATTCTCGAGTCTCTTGGTGTAGCTGTAACTTTAGCAGTTGAATCCAGGCGATAACGGGAGATGAAAGCACGCCCGCCTCACTTCTATATCCTTCCCATGACACACAAATTTGGCAGGCCCGCAAAAGGAGGCTTTTTCTTCACTTCCAAGTGAAACTAATAACCTCACACCGTAAAAGTCCACGGCCGGCACCTTAAGGCGCAACACCAATAATTACATAAATTCCGGGATGCTAGGATATACCTGCCAGCTGTTTTTCAGGTATCATTTTTGCGTTAGTATCACCTTCCTCAAGCACCCGAACATCTAGTTTTGCTGGCGGCAAGCTGAGGTAACGATCTGCCTTTTCTCACTGGCTCTTGTTTCGTTTCTTGCCACTTTGCAACAATTGGTTTCCTCGCGCAGAGGTTTATATGTTACAGCTATAACAAGGGTTTGATTCAATGCTGTCTCCCTGGAAACTGAAAAATTGCCGCCTAGCTTTCTTGTTTTGAAATAGCTTTATGGA